TGAAGTCTGTTCCAGTGGTAAGCTTATACTGTAGTGTACGAAATATGCAGCTCGACCTCGATGACCGACAGTGAGACTGTGCCACTGAGACACGACCGACAGTGCGACACTCATTTGCAAATTACATTGACTTTTCCTTTAACATTTATCAATTTTATGTTACTTGCGCTATCTGTCAATTTGATTAACTTGTTTCTCCGTCTTCGTTATAGTCCGTTTGACTTTTCAAGACTATCCTTTATGAGGTTACGAGGCTAGTACAACACATAAGCTGAGTGCTTGTCTCGGCGGTGTAGTCCAGTGTAGTCTGTTTAGCAGTCACGTGACCGTGTTTTCTACGCATGAACATGGCACCATGCACGTGATCACGTATAACCAATCCGTTTCACTTCTCTGTATATATTGTTCTCAGCCTATAACCGCCCCGGAGTATGCGCAGCGCCTCTAGCGGGCTTCGGGTGCTCGGGTCCTCACTCCTCAATCTACACAAGAGCGTCAAAATTCCCCGGTACAGCATTTTGCTTGATTTTGCTATCTTTTTGTGTTCTTATATTATTCTATGTACGTAGCTTCGTTTTTTATATTCACGTCGCTGTCATTTTGCAGCCATACGTGTACAGTTTATCATCTCGATTGGTGTGATTTTTCTGTATTACTAAGTAGAAAATGCACGATTAGGCCTAGCTCCAAGAAACGTTATTGCTAGGGTTAGAATAGCTAGACGTGGTATACACCGTATACGTGGTGTATTGACGTTAGTCACACAGCCTGGTCGGGTTAGATTAGGCCTAGATACAATAATGTAACCCAAACCCAAGAGGATAGGAGACCTATCCTCTTGGGTTTGGGTTACATTATTGTATCTAGATTAGGCCTACTGATTAGTTTGCGATAGTAGTACCACTACCAGTACCGCTCATAGGGTCTATGTCCCCCAGGGTACTGCCGGAACGTACCCTGGTTACGGTCCGGTATACCAGAACGTACCCTGGTCACTATTTGATATGGTTAGGATTAGGGTTAGGGTTCGGGTTCGGGTTAGGGAGTAGGCGTAGGCGACTACCTAGACTCGTTAGTGGAGTAGGCGAGGTACGGTACGGCATATTAGATAGTACCAGGGTACGTTTCGGTATACCGGACCGTACCCATGGTACGTTCCGGCAGTACCCCGGGGGACATAGACCCTCTCAGCACCAGTACCTGTAGCAGTAGTCAGTACCACTATTAAAAATTAATAATAATATGGCAGTGTGTATTTAACCTTATACGGCAGAGTATCCAGTTCCAGGGGCGTAGCTAGGGTGAAATGAATGTGTACGCACACAGGCGTGGGGTATGGGGGTCCTCCCCCAGAAATTGTTGAAAATGTAGATCGCAGGAGATGGTATTTTAAGCACTTTTGAGTAAATGTACAGCCTTCATTCTGACTATTCTCTTCATGAGCAACAAGATGTGGTCACTAAAGATCATAACTAATCATGTAATTTTCGTTTTATTATCAAGACATGTTGAACTAACACACATACTTAAACTCTCTCTTTCTCTCTCTCTTTCCCTCTCTCTCTCTCTCTCTCTCTGCAATAAGACAAAAGTTTTGTGAAATGATGTGTATGCAACTGCGTATCTGCGTTATGGCAGCTACACCCCTGACTTCCGATATTTTACCGTACACCACATTTGATTGGCTAGTATATTTATGACGCCATCAACATACGTTCGAATCCCACAAGGTTTATCTATCTAGAAAACTTTTAGGTTCAAATCCCATTTATTCCTATACATTTATAGCACAGTTTGATCATAGAAGCGATTTTCTGCGAGTCACCAGGGCTCAAATTTAACAGTCGTCCGGTCGTCCGTGACGACTGGATTTTCTCTCGGGCAACTACAAATTGCTTCCGTGGTTGTCCGGTGTCCAACCTCTATAAAATTTTTATATTCATAATGCAGGCGTTCATTTTACATACGGCCGGGGTTGCACAATACGCTGCAAACGTACATGTCTAGACGCATTTTCTGGCTTGCTTGATACAAAGTATAACATCACGTGTTTAACAACACAATGTTTCGTGTTAATTTTCAATTTTTACTCATCTGTGACTTGACACAGTGTTAGTAATGTTAGTAGTGTTAGTTAACTTAATGTAAATGTTATGAAAAAAATTTCATGCAACTTTTAATTACTATTATTATACGTCATTGATCCCAGCATCATTTACCACATTACCAATATTTTATTCTCTTCATATAATGAGTGAAACAATGCGAATGGCCATGTCTGCTGTCACTGCAATCAGTGTTTGCCACTGAGCAGAAAAAGCTGTAGGCCTGCAAGGCCTATAGCTTCTAAAAGCTGCAGGCCCGCCAGCAAAGCTGTAGGCCCGCCAATTTTGGAGCAAATTACAGCAATAAAACAGCATATCATGTTCTTCCTTATATGTTTATTAGTCATTATCAATGTCCATAATCATAATCCCTCTGTTTTTCCTTTCTCTCGTCGGATGACTGTTTATGCTCCGTTGCCGGGTGCTCACAATTGAGGAAACGCCACATCGTTGTTATATGTAGCTCCTTGGTAACTACGACTTTCCACTTTGACAGCAGAGAGACAGACTGGTAGTCTGGTACACATCGGGGACTTCTATGGGGGTTTGGGGGCCAGAACATTTTTGAAAATTATAAGCTCTGAGATGCAATCTAGAGCCATTTCAGGGTACTCCAATAGCTTACAACTAGCAACACTTTTTGGTGGAAAAACAAAAAATTATGTAAAATTTACCTACTGTAAAATTTTGATGGGCACTGGGGAATTCCAATTTCTGTCTGTGTTGAGTGTGTCCGAAGTAAATGTATTTTGTAGACATACAAGCTCTTACGTAGGGAAGCTTTTATTTAGCTACACCCTGTATAAATGTATATAGTTTTTCCAAACGTTAAAACAATATGACACGGTTAAACCTGAGTGGTGCGACGAGGCTGTACTGCTGTTCGCATGACTAGTAAGTAATACGCGCTCGTGCTTTGCAGCTACAGTGACTAAATTATGACATGTGTGTTAAAACTTGAGACAATTATTATTATTACTGTTAATTCAACATGATATATTATCTAAATCTTCTTAATATTATTTTAAAACAGTATACTGATCGTTGTAATAACGACCAGTGATACTTTATTGTTTACATCCAAACGTGAAATGCGCGGGGATGTGAAAATTACTCCACAACGTAGCGCACGTGAACAGTGAGCGTGCTGCACGACCCGTGCACGTAAATAAACCCTGGCCAACACAATGTAGGGTTCACTACAACTGGCCAAAAGTAAGCTCCATGCACCCACTTCTTATCGATTTTTGGTATGCCAACGCTGCTACTGGATGCAGGAACTGTGCTAACCTGTGCGTCCGAACATCCCACGCACGTTTCTTGAATGCCAACTAAAGTTGATTGCAGTGGGCGAACGCATGTTTACATGTATGTCACGGTTTATCACGGATTCAGTTTCAAATAAACACCCCTGGAAGTTAATATGCATGAACAGATTTCTACAGGTAACAGTTTCTCAGTGTTTCGAATTTTCGGTGATCAAATAGCTGTAGGATCAGCGGGCCTGTTGTATCAAGAAGCTGTAGGCCCGGCACCGAAACTGTCGGCGGCGGGCCGACGTGAATTTCGAACACTGACTGCAATACGTACAAAATGTACATGATTAGGCCTTTTGCTTTACAGCACTGAGCATCACGTGAGCAAAGCGCATGCAGCACATGTTTAAATAATATCCGGACAACCAAAACTCTTGAGGGACAACCATATGCTACTGTAGTTGCCCTAGGGGCGGCCGACTACGGTACGACAGACGTTGTTCGTTAACGCGTGTCCCAGTTGTTGGGATTCAGTGTTCGCTCCTGCCGTTGTATTAGGCAGGACGGTGATGTCACGTAGCAGATAACAGGTAGCACCAGCTGAACAGAACACAGTGAGATTCGGTTAACTATACGGTTATAGCTTTATTGTTTCCTACTAGTTCACAAATAATTCCTAGGCGTTCGTATATGCCGCAGATCCGATCACCACTAGATTAATATTGAAGAAGTAACACGTCGCCGGTTTCGTCTTCCTCACTCACGTTCGTCCTCTCCTCGCGTAGACCTAGGCAGTCTCCAAGAGGTCTCCCTCGTAGTCGCTCCTGGCTCAAACTATCCGGAATCCTGTTCTCCTCCGTCCTCGTTTAATTCCCCTCTCCCGTTCGTCTCCGGTTTGCACCTACCTGAAAACCTGTGCCTCCATCCTCTCGCTCTGCAACGCTTCCGCTCCGCTCCTTCTTCTTCCTTCTCCTTCTCCTTCTTGCTGCCTAGCCCTGAAAAATAACGCTCTCTTCCTCTTTCTCTTCATCCTCGGCTGCTTCTTCTTCTTCTTCCTAAACCTGACCTGAAAAATAACAACACTCTTGCTCTGCGATTCGGCGCGCCTTATATACCTAGATGGCGTGCAGATTTCGTTCGCTGGCGCAATCCGTACCTGGTAGTACCATGATTGCCTTACCCGATAACGCAACCCGGGGCTGGTACAGATTGTTGCATCATCTTATGCAACCCGTTTCTAAGTAAATATTCCTCTCTTCGACAACTTAGACTATTCATTCTATTCAAATCTTCTCATATATTATGCTGACTAATGATACATAACCGCGCAGATTATTATATTCTATTTATCTCGTTATCGCTTTTCGCGTAAACACTTCTTGTTTTCCCCGACCATAGCAGCAGCAGTGACATGGTTCGTAGCGGGTCTTCCAAAGTCTTATAAGTACTTATTTTGCCAAAAATAAAATAAGGGCCCTTATTAGTACTTATTTTTGGTGAAATCTTAGAAAAGTACTTAATAGTCCTTAGTTTTTGCCAAAGGACCATTTTTCAACATTGTTTTATACAACTGTTCTCAGACTAAGAGTAAGAATGTGTATATATAATACGGAATAATTAAATCTGCTGTGCAATTGTGTATATAAATGTTATTAGTGTACTTTAATAGTCGGTGATCTATCAGAAATCGCGTAAAAAAGTCTTATTTTGGCCTCCAGAAAGGGTCTTATAAGTCCTTATTTCAACATGTGTCTTGCTACTATGAACCCTGAGTGATAGCATGATCCAAGATGGCTGCACCCATGGACGTGCGTGTTGACATATTTATGTGCGATCTAGATTTCATCCTCTCTTTAGTCATTATAAGGTTATTCCATCTATATTGTGAGTTCAGTCTATCCATCCTGATCTAGTCTACTGCTCCTGTAAGTTACACACCCCCGACATCTCCACACTACTCTCTTGGTTGTCCTCCCGACAACCCAAAAAACCCTTAAAATTGAGCACTGGTCACGTTTCCAATACAAAACCTTTTGAACACATTCATAATATACAAACATACATATGATATATATATATACACATACATACATATATATGCTAGCCAATCAGAATTACTGTACGGTAAAATAGCGGAAGTTGATACT